AAAAAAAATCCTTTTTTCTAGCTGTCTGAAATATAAAGTACATATTGTGATCTACAGTCACCTTACTGTGCAATACCATACTAGAATTACTCGCTCCTTCCTAACTGTAACTCAGTATCATTCTCCTTACAGCATTTTAAAAACTCAGTCATAGTACTGCTGAGTATGTATTTATTTATTCTGAATAAACGTAATGCCTAAGGAGCAAAGCGCCAATATGATAATACTAAATAATTTTTAAGCAAATGGTCAAGTCAATTCAAGCCAATACTTTTTCCAGTGCATGCCATTACTTCTACTGAGAAGCAGCAAATTTTAGAACTATGCTGGTTACTGTAGACTAAATTATAAACAACATTCACATTTCTTTCTCAATGAGTAGACCAATGAAGTAAGAATCAGATCTTCAGGTAGACTTCTTGGTATTAATACCAGCTGAAATATTAATGAGATTTTATTGTAATTAAGGGTTTTAATTTTATTATACTACAAAAACACTGTTGGTTAATGTTAGTATTTATAACAATGGAAACCCTTATCATGAACAAAGAGATCTATACTAAAGGACTGAATTTAAAGTGAAAATAACTAAAGTTGTGGGCCCAAAATTGGTACAGCCACTCTTGTTACCCTCTGGTATTATGACAGGTCCAATACACTTCCTATGTCCAACAACAGAAGTCTGGCTAGTAGATATCTCTATCAAAACAGTATTATAGTCACTGATTAAACTGAATGTTGAAGACAGTCTACTTAGCAATAAGTAAATATAAAGTTCTATATAAATAGGATTGCATAAAAATAAAGAATGGCTGAAATAGCTGTGATCTTTTTAAAATTAAAAAAAAAAACTGCAATTTTTACCATGAAAAGTATTTTAATAGATCCAAGCTACAAGGACTTCTGAATTTTTTAGGAGTTTCCATTAATGAAATCAAATGAATATCAACCACATAAAAGCACACTGGTGAAGGTGACAGCACAGTGCAGTGCCAGTTCCAAGCCAAGTGCACACCCACACTGGGAAAACAGCCCATCCTCCCTCGCACCTCACTTTCTCACAAAACCCACTGCAGTTGATAAGGAAAACAAAATCCTTATAGAAGGGCAACCCAGG